CCGATAACTTTTGAAGCTCGAGTCATGAACAATAAAACTTATCGGTTAAATTTTTTAAAATGATATAATTTTTTTTTTGTTTAGTATTTTGAAGTTGACCAATTGTTACTATAAGCAATTAATGATTATAGATGATCTGCACCATATTACAAATCAAACATATGTGTAACATACTTTGCAACTTAAAAAAATTTATTATTAAACTACCTTTTGACCAAATGGATTCAACAATTTTGGAAAAATATTTTAATGAAAACGAAAGATTATTAAATACAGAAGATTTTTATGATGTAAAAATATATCTTGGTGTAGAACCAAACATTAAAGAAATTCATGCACATACATCTATCATATGTGCACATTGTCCATTTTTTAGAAATGCATTAACTAATGCAACAAAGAAAAACGGGTATTATATTATTGAAAAAGCCAATATTAGTGAAAAAGCTTTTGACCCTATTCTCAAGTAAGTTTAAATTAAATTGTTAATTAATTATTATTGTTGAGTTTATAATAATAACATTTATTTATTTTGAAAGATTCTTGTATACATGTAATATAGAATTAGATAATTATACTGGAGTTGATATTTTGCAAATATTAATTGCAGCTGATGAACTTGATCTTGAGTGGCTTTACAATTATACAATGAACTACTTTATTGAAAAATGTGAGGATTATATAAAAGAAAATCCAGTTAAAATTTTACAATCAGTTTATTCTAACAAACAATTTATGGAATTTGAAAGTATTTTCTTAAATAAATTTTGTAAAAAATTATTTGAGTCAAGTGAATTTAAATCATTAGAAAAACCAACTTTATTGGAGATTCTTAAAAGGGATGATTTTTGTATTGATGAAATAGTTATTTGGGAAAATATTCTTAAATGGGTATTAGCAAGGCATACAGAGATCAATAACAGTGAAATTAAAAATTGGTCACCACAAAATTTTGTTGATATGGAAAATACATTAAAAGAATTTATTCCTCTAATAAGATTTCAAGATATTCCTAAAGGATTTTTGTTCTAAAATTATTACATATCAGAAGCTTTTTTCAGAGTTATTTTGGAATGACCTTTTACATCATTATATAATGGATGCTAACCAGCAAACTTTGAATTTATTACCATCAAGAATTCCAAAAATTCAATCATTAACAATTAACCAAGAGCTTATTTTGCTTTTTGCAAACTGGATTGATAAAAAAATCCCACAATATAATTCATTCAGAGATCTTAAATACGAATTTAAACTTATATATTGTGGTAGTAGAGATGGTTTAAGTGGAACTATATTTCGTCAAAAATGTCATAATATCAATAAAACTCTTGTAGTTGGCAAAATACAAAATTCAGATCAATTAGTAGGAGGTTATAATCCACTTGATTGGAATTTAAATAATGGAGCTGGTATATGGAAAAGTACAACTGAAAGTTATATTTTTAACATTAGTGATAGAAATGATATTTATACTGCAAAGTTTAGTTATGTTATTAAGAATCATAATGCAATTCGCTGTCATTCTTCATATTTAGCTGTTTTTGGTGGTGGTCATGATCTTCGTTTTCAATCAAATAATAATATTCTTGTGGAAAGTTCATCTTCTTATAATGACATTAATATAATAAGTGGTAGTAAATATGATGAATTAGAAGTATTTCAAATAATTGATAAAAAATAAATTTGAAAAAAAAATAAATATAGCTAATAGAATTTTTTTTATTTATATAAATATATTAAGTATTTGATTACGTATTTACGCAAATTTGTAGAAACCCACGTAATAATAGCATGTTGCTTAGTAGTATATATCCGTAATTTTATATCACTGGCTTTTATTCATCTAAATCAACGGAAAAAATGAAAAATCAATTAAAAACAATTGAAATAAAATTCAGTAATAAGATCACGATTTTGCAGGCCATTGAAAATAGTTCATTTAAAATTCGTTATAACAAATTACTAATCACGTAATAAGATTCGTTGAAGTGGAGTTTGACTATGTGAAATTTCCTCGGATATTTATGAGAATTTAAAAATCTTTTTTTGAGTTGAGCTAGAGTTTCTATTCGTAATGTTAATAATACAAATTATTTCGAATACTAATATTAGTATTAGTATTAGTTCGAATTATTTGGGGGATTTCTTTATTCGTTTTATAATTATTCGTTTATTCGAATTATTCGTTTTATTCAAGCCACAAGTTATTATTATTATTATCCTTTTCTATTTAAAAATATTAATAATTTTTTCAATTCAGAAGATACATTAATAATATTAAAACAGGTCAAAAATTTAAGGTAATGAATGATATGTGGAGAAGAAGAGACTTTATTCTTGTCCATAATTTTTTAATTATCCAATATCTACTGAGATTAATTAGCCCAGAAGTATAAATTCATACTGAGCGAACTTAATTTTCCTTTGCCTTTACTTTCACTTTGTTGTTGATCTCATTTGTTGATTTTTCTTCAATTAACTCTTGATTAATATATTCTTCTTTATTCTCATTAAATGTACTAATTGCTATTCCAGTTTAGTAACATCATTCCCTCTCTATTTGCTGATTTCTTGGCTTTTTAAAAACATAAATAGTCAACTTACCAAACGCGGGTACATACATAACATACGTCCACTCTATGATAGTTCTTTGAAATTTTATTATATTCTTAAAAATGACTGAGAAATTTATAATCATTTTATTTTCATTAATGATTATATAATTATATTAATTATTTATATATATATATATATAAAGCAATTATTTTACCTAATAAACGATTAGAAATGGTAGAGATTCAAGAAGTGTTGGAGAAACAATGAAAATGAAAATCCAAAAAAAAAAACGTAATGATGGAGATGTAAAATATCCGCCTTTACTTATTGAATTAAAAAATTTGCCAAGATGCAGAATATTAGTAGTGGGAGATGTAAAAACAGGTGCTTTAGCTGCGCCTAAAGCTACTGCAACGGCTCAAAAAACTGAAGTGAAAAACTTCAAGAAATTGAACAATTGATGATTCAATGAATGTAAACTAAATACATCTTTTTTTTCGATAATTAAGATCAGATGTTCAAAAGGTTTCATTTACACCCAATTATCTACGTTAACAACTCCATTGTAAACATTTATAAGGAATCAATGATTTAAATTATTATAATCATTCAATGATTAATTATCTAATAAATCAAAATAATCTTATGTTGAAAATGGCTTAAATACATCAGAGAAGCATTTTCTTTTTCAAATAAATGATATCATCGCCAGATTTTTTTTTAGTGGAATGAGCTTTAAAGCTTTTAACATCTCCTCCACCTATGCCGACTTTGATTTTTCCATCATAATAATCATAATAACAATATATTACTATTACGTCTGATATAAGATTTAACCCATCCTTTATCAGTCAATGATAAAATAATTAAGTCATTTGGAAATGTTAAATTTTCCGTTCGAAAATTCTTAATATTAATTCACATTGCCTTTTTAATAGTATCTTACTAATTAGATTTACCGACTGCAGAAATTTTTTAAAATGATAAATTGAAATTTGACATTTATTTTAAATAGAAAATTAATATAATGCTTATAAATGCTATATATAATATAATAATTTTTAATAATACAGAGTAAATTATTTTAAATAAATTAATTCTTTTTTACTATTTTATAAACTTCACATTCTTCTATTAAATGGACTTGACTGGGTTTATTTTTAAGTTTTAAATCATATTCATAAGAAGGATAGTAACCCAAATAATAATAAGGTTTATTATCAGTGCTATTCAATATCTGTAAATCCACAAAATTCATAGTAATTTCGTGAAAATTTATATTCTCTACATTCATACTAATCACTTGTTGATCATGAAATATTGCATATTTAATATCAATGACTCTACTTAATATTGAATTATTTATTTGATTTTCATCAATCTTAAAAATAAAACTTTCATCTGTTTCGATCCAATATAGTGAATCTGGAGATTCTCCACTTATATTCCAACAAACTGGATTATATCCACCAACTAATTCTCCTGTATCTTTAACTTTCACAATGACTACAGTCTGTTCAATATTATAACATTTTTCTTCAAAGACAGATCTAGAAAAGCCATCTCGAGTACCTTGAAGAATTAATTCAAATTCATAAGATACATCATTTTTGTCAATCCAACTTGAAATTAAACGTTTTTTTTTTAAATTTAATAAAGTTACTGTTCTTGTTCTTGGATCTTTTTGAAGTAATAATCTTGGTTGCCATTTATTATTGCCAAGATAATATTCAAATACTTCTTTATAAATTTCTTCATCAAAAAAACTTTTAAATGGCTCGATTTTATTGTGAAAATCAGTTAAAGCAATTTGATTGAATCTTATCAATGGAATAACATCTTTTAATATCTTCTTCATCTTGATAAAATCATCTTTGTTCCACACTGAAATATCCTTTTCAAATTCTTCACTTTGTCCCATTCCCCATTGAATAGCACGATCCCAAATACTAATTTCTTTTACTTCTAAATCATCTCTTTCCAATATAGACACAAGTGTTGATTCTTCAATATCAACAAAATCATCAGATTCAAAATATGATTCTGGATTATCACTAATTAATTCATCAAAATAATCATGAAGTAAGTTGAATGATTGATGATGTGATGAAATTTTATGAACATAAACTAAATTCTGTTGAATCCATTCTTTCTTTTTGATGATCAAGTGATTTTGTAAATCTTCAATTAATTCATTAAAGCCTAATTCATCACATGCCTCAAGAAGTTCAAAGTTTTCATTTTCATCCAGATTATCTATATTAATGGTCCCATTGTAAATATATCTATAAAATAAGTAATTTTAAATTATTTATAATTAATCATTCAATTAATTAATTGATCAAGCTAAAATAATCTTACATTAAAAGAGCCTCAAATACATTTGGAGAAATATATTTTTTTTCAAATAAAATGATACCATCATCAGATTTCTTTGCCCAATTATTTGATAAAGCAGCCTTAAAATATGAAGATCTTGCTTTTAAAATGGTAGAATGAGCTTTAAAAGTTTTAACATCCTCATCCATTCCAACTCTAATTTCTACATCATAAAAATCTGATTCATTCAATAACTTTGTTAAATCATTTACAAGTTTACTAGTATATTTTAGTGGTAGGGCATAACTATTTAAATCTGCTAGACTATTAAATAATGTTTGAATATTTTCTACTGATGAAAAACTGCTGGACATTTTTTAAAAAAAATTTGATAGAAGATTGAAATGAAATTTCTAAAATTCATACACGTGAAAATTAAATTAGCCAATCAAAGGAATTTCGTACCCAACTTCAAAACAATCACACAAAAAATTTATTGTTATTAAATAAATTAAATAAAAAGTAAATAGTTGCCAAAGGCAAGTATAGATAACTTTCAGTTGAAGTAGATAATGTACTAACTAGACTATGTTAAATATTTCGATATTTCACTTATTCCTGCTACAATATTTTTTCAACATATTATGGACAATTAATTAATTATTAATTATTATAACTATTGATTGGTTCATACTAAAAATTTATTGAAACATTTGCTTCAGAACAAAAATTTTTATAGGTCGTTTTATCGTGGTTCTATATTTAATGTAATAAACAAGAAACTCTTTAATAACCCCTTTTAAATTGAAGGAAAGCAAACAATTGCGATGAAAACAGAAAATTTCTTTTTAATCAGGATCCCATGAAATAAATATCTTCAATCTCTAACTGTTCTCTTCAAATTGTAATACAGTGTCTTGAAACCATTTTTTAACACACATATAACAAACGTCGCAAGCAGATGGAGTAAACACATAAACACCTATAACCTAATAAAACTAATAACACATTTCAAACATCTATCTTCGCTGTCCCTAAAATTTCCAGATCAAACCTAGACCGTGAATAAAACCATCTATGAAAATTTCTTGACCTAATTCTTTACAAGGCAGTAAAATATTTTTGAGGATGGAGGTTGCAATATAGATTTTAATATAATTTTGTATTTCTTTAGAAAGATTCTGCAAATGACAATCTGCTTCCCCTTTCTACACTTAACTACTGAATTGTTTTGCAAATATACTAGAATTTCTCTTGGTAAAAAACTACTAAAATTATTGTCAACTGTTTCGCGAGGAATTTAAATCCTGGAAACTTGAGGATTTCCAAAAAAAAAAAAAAAAAAAATGAAGGTAACAATCAATAATAAAACTTTTAAAATTATGTTGATCACAACAAATATTTTTTGCTCTATCTAAAATTATTTTAACTTATCGTTATAACGACTTTTAAATTTGATCATAGACTATTTAATTTGATTTTATCAACTATACAAAGCTTTTCACTTTGACATCATGTATGTAACTACTTCAAATCAAGAAAAACCAGCAGAGTAAGTAGGAAAAAAAATATCTTTTTTTTGTGGAAGGAAAACAATCTTGAAAATATTTTATTAAAAAAAAGATATTCGAAATCTGTAATTTTAGAACCCAAACTATTACTGAAAATAGATGGCCACCTGATTTAAAGCAAGTATTTCCATTTTATTATTTATAACAATATTGTAATATTATTATTACTCTATATATTAGTATATATGTTTCTTTTCATTGATAATTATAATTTTATTAATAGGGAATATCTGAGAAAAAGTTTCGATGTCGTTGCCTCAGACAATACTGATGCTGTTGAAAGAGAACTTAAAATTTTAATTGAAGAAAAAATTAGAACAAACCAAATGTGGACTACTGATTGGAAAAACATCGAATTACCTCCAAGCTGCTATGCACCAAGGTAAATTTGGGTATTGTTAATTTTAATTTTGCACTCGAAAAATATTTTAAAAGGCTCAAGTCTTTCCAATATTTTTTTTTAAAATAAATAATAAACTAAATTTTTCTATTGATTAGTCCAAACAAAGAGAGAGATAGCAACAAACGAAGAGGGTATATATTTTGAAGGTTATTGAATATTGTTAATAAATTTTATTTATTTGATTCTAACTCTTCTAGTAGATCACCTGAACAAGATATAGGTGATAGTGATATCAATGAACTTGATAAAAGAGAGAAACGTGCAAAAAGATTTCAAGCACATGATAGAACGAATAAATTACACTGGGAATCTAAGGAACCAGTAAAGTTTTTAGAATGAATAATAACAAAATGTTATTTTTTTGATTATTCTTATAAAAAAAGCCTTTTATTTATAAATGTAACATAGGAATTAGATGTAATAAACATGGAACAAACTATTGTTGGAACTTGTCAACAACTTGAAAAGCAATATTTACGTTTAACATCAGTGAGTATTTATTATATATTCAGTAAGACTTTGTTGTAAGTATTCAATTTCTAGTCTATGTCAAATACACTTAAATTTATCATTATCAGGCACCAGATCCTTCAACAGTAAGGCCATTACGTGTCTTAAAGAAAACAATTGAAGTTTTGAAAAATAAATGGGCAGAAGAAAAAAATTACACATACATTTGTGACCAATTTAAATCTTTACGTCAAGATTTAACGGTTGGCTAACTAACTGTCTTGATTTTTTTTTTTTTTTTAAAAAAAAAAATAGTAATTAAAAATTTTATTTATATATATATATATATATAATGAACCCAAGGTTCAACATATCCAAGATGAATTTACAGTTGAAGTATATGAAATACATGCTCGTATAGCATTAGAAAAGGTTATTATTTGATGTTATATATATTTTTGGAATATAAAATGACTTTAAATACGTTGCATTTGGATATTTATTTATTAGGGCGATGTGGGTGAGTATAATCAATGTCAAACACAACTAAAGGAACTTTACAGATTAAATATTCCAGGTCAAATGATAGAGTTCATGGCATATAGACTCCTTTACTTTGTGTACACAAGAAATCGTTCAGGTAATCTTTATATCATATTATATTAACATAGATTCTTTTTCAACATTATGTTTAAAATTAAAAATAATTGTAATTGCATTATTTAGATATTAATGCATTAATAGCTGAACTTACTGATGAAATGAAAGAAAATAAAGCAATTAAACATGCATTAGATGTCAGGTCAGCATTGGCTACATCAAATTACCATAAATTCTTTGATTTATATTCAAAGGCGCCTAATATGGGAGTATATTTGATGAACCTTTTCGTTGAAAGAGAAAGAATTGCTGCTTTGAAAATTTTATGTAAATCGTAAGTAGCGTTTAATATATATATTTTTTTTGTTGTTACTTATTTCTAAAAAAATATTTTATATTTACATTATAAAAATTTTTTTTTTGATCCGCAGATTTAGACCAAATTTGGATTTAGAATTTATACGTTCTGAATTAGCCTTTGAAAATATAGAAGAATGTATAAAATTTCTTTCAGATCATAATGCCTCTCAATATATTATATCAAATAGCACATTAGAGACTAAAGGTGCACAAAAACCAATTGATGCGTGTAGTAAGAAATTTGAAAAGGTTGACATCAAGGGACAGATTTGAAATTGAAGTCGCTGCCAATAATAATTTATTATTATTTATCATCGTCATCATCACCATCACCATCATCATCACCATCATCATTGCCAAAAACATACATTTTTTTCTTTTCCTCTTCTCTCTCTCTCTCTCTCTCTCTCCATCCATAGAGGATATATAAAGTGACATTCAATCACCATAATTATCATCATTATCATTATCATCATCATCCATCATATTCATTAGACAATTAATAATGGTAACCCAATCAATAATTGGTGATATTATTTATTCTTATTGATGCTGATCTCTGATTAAAAAATATGGGTTTTATTAAATTCAATAATCTTTTTTTTTCAAACAAAAATAAAGCAGAATGTATTTATTTTCTTGATTTTATTTAAACAATAAAAAATTTTTTTTATATTATATTTTCTAAAAAATATCATTTTTTTTTTCATATAAAAAAATAAAATTGTTTATATACGTCAGTTTTTTGCGTGAAACGCATACTACTGCATCTGATCATAAAATCCTAAATTTAAAAATTTTTGCAAAAATTTTTATCAAATCCTTCTTCTGCTTTATGAAGCCCCCTTTTTATTTTTCTATTCTTTGCAACCATTATGTTAATATTAATATTACAATTACTAAAATTTTCAATATCCCGGATTTTTTTTTCTCGTATTTTTGATTTTCATGTTTCAACAAATTCAAATAATAATAATAATAATAAGTCCTCCTGATAAATATCCGGTTTATCCGTCAATGATTAATTATATTCTAATTCGGACGATTCGGCTCTTCTACTTGTCATCTTGGTATAATTACCTTTGAGTGGAATCACGAAAATTTCGATTTAATCTTCGTGATATCTTGAAAATACTCCTTCCAACTCACATATCTGATCTTTGATTTGGGTGTCCAGTTAACTGCATTTGAATCCAAAGTAAAAGTTGCGAAACCACACTCGTGTAACTTGAACTTGCAACTGTAAATATCCTAAATATAAAGAATATTTTTTATCTTGATTACTTTGTCATCTTTGTAGTCACGTAATTAATATTAACGGAAAAAGTTTGATCGGCGATTATTTAAAAAGCAAGTTCGTAAAAAAAAACAGAATAATTCAATAGATCAACCTTCAGCTAGTGTATATAACCTTGGCTTATATATATAGTACGTAGATTTAGATGAAGCGCTTGAAGAAGTCTATTTAAAATTAACAAAAGAGGAAGTAAACGAGAAAAACGATAATCAAAAATCCTATTTAAAATCAAAAACTAAAGGATGTGTGCACTAGTAAAAAATTAGTTATTAAAGCTCCTCACGAGCTGGCTTGCGAGCCAAATAACTTATTCAGCTTGCGAGCCGGCTCATGCGGAACTTTATTCATTATACTAGGTAAGGCTTCGAACAGATCTGATCAAAACCAGTCCATATTGGTTCCTATTAAATTGCAATCCGAAGAACGTTCACAATATGTCGTCCATTGTACATCAGGTCTGGTGTCTGACTGGTAACTTCCACAAGCTGTGGCCATGAAGTGCTTCCAGCTTCCTACTTCCAATCATAGTGACAGCGTAACTTCAGATACATAAAAACTCAAATTACTCGTTGGGAAATCTCACCTTATTCTACGACACTCGATGCCTATGTAGTAAGTTCTAAATATTGTTTTATGTGTAGACAAAAAATTGGTGGACTAAATATGGTGCATTTTCACCCATAATAATAATCGCCAATTTGATCACTAACTTTAAAAAATCATTTTGAATACCCAAGGGACAATTTATATGGTTCATAAAATCTTCTTATTAAAAGAAATATTGGTATCAAAAACTATTGATGATAATTGAAATGAGACAAGATGTTGATAAAATGGATAAATTCTTCATGACCATTAAAATTTCTATAAAATAGTTTTTCGTGAACCTCTCTAAAACATATTAACCAATACCCCCATAAAGTAATGACCATATAAAAACTTAAAGTATTCTACACCTTCTCATTTACTATCAAGCCTTTTAAAGCGATATTGAGAAACAATCTGAGGTTTGAAGTGAAAAAGTAATACCGTTTTTGAATAACCGTGAATTCGTGTAGAGGAGACCTTTCGATATGAAAAAGTATTCATTAGAAAGCTTTAATGGAGTACTTTCATTTTAGTCTAACAACAAAGTTCGAGTTTATTATAAAAATAACGAGATATTTTAAAAAAGCTTCATGTGACACGAATTTCGAATTTGTTAATATTATCATGGGATTTGTAAATAATCACATGTTGTATAAATATCGCTTTTTTCTAGATTTTGTTGTAATGAATAAATACAAAAATGTATATACAGTAAATATAAGTATTAATGTTTTATTTCCAAGAAAAATCAAGTCAAACTTTATCTTCATTTTTAAGCCTCTCTATTAGATTATTAAAACATTGAATAAAAATTTTTTTTCTTTGATGAACTAATACTACTAATTGCTCGTTTGTTAGAACTGCTTTTAACTTGCTAATAAACATCAAATACACTCCCTGGACAAAAGTTTCGGTCACCACAAAACAATTAATTACGCAAAAACATACATAATAAAACAAATAAATTTCTCAAGAATACGCATGCAAAATTTCAAATTTTTGTTTGAGAATAACAGAAAAAAATAAAATGTTCGACCAAAAATAATTTTTTTTGATTTTATTTGCAAGTATTTATACCACATCTGAAATTTTACTTATTTGTATGCAAGTCAATACTTTGTTGGCCACCCATTATTGGATATAACAGCTTCTATTCTTCTCGGCATACTTTCTATCAAATTCATATAAATATTTCTAGGAATTTGATTCCATTCTTCATGTAAAACGGTCTCAAGTTCAACATTATTTAAATTTATTTGGACGTTTCCGAATAGGAATTTCTAATTGATTCCACAGATTTTCTACAGGATTCAAATCAGGAGATTGACTTGACCAATTTTTACGATTTTAGCAAAAATTTCAAAACAATTTTTTAAAATAGCAAACAAAGAAACTTGTATAAAAACATATCAATATGACGTGATTTTTTCAGAATCTAATCTTTCATATGCACGATTTCAAGTGTGGTTATTATGTGAGTTTATGAGAAACTGATTTTTTTTTGGCAAACTATGATATTTTTGGTCGAACATTTTATTTTTTTAACTGTTATTCTCTAAACATTACAAAAATTTGAAATTTTGCATGCATATTCTTGAGAACTTTAGTCACAATTTGATAAAATTTATTTGTGTTTTATTATTTATGTTTTTGCGTAATTAATTGTTTTGTGGTGACTGAAACTTTTGTCCAGGAGGTGTATTATTGGAAATAGAATTTGCAGCAAATCGCTTTTCTTTATTAAACATGAAAAAACAAAAAATAATGATTTCAATTTAAATGATAAAATAGTTTGGGCATTTAGCATGGTTTGCTAAAACCTGTGTCTAAGTCAAAACTATATAAAAATGTTACAATGAAAATTAATTAATAGTTTGCTAAATCCGTGCCTAAAGTCAAATATAATATAAATAAAGTATAATAATACATATCTAAACTCGATAAGTCGGACATTTATTTATATTATAAAGTACTTTAAACAATTGATTGCTGCGTCTGAATTATCGAGTTTAGATATGTAAAAATAATAACAGTGCAAATTTCGATAATAATAATAATAACATGATAATGTTTCAATACTAATACCAAACATTGAATTTTGGTTTTGATGCAGACAGAAAGCCTGTAATTGAATACATTTTATTAAAACTTAATGAACTCCTCAATTAAAAAAGAGAAAAATTTTTTCAACATACCATTCACAAATAAAATTATATTTTTGAGTAATGTATCTTTCATCTTCTTCCCTTGGTGATTGTACTCTACTAATCCACCGATCACTACCAATATTATTCCCAATCACTGCATGACCATGAACAATACCACTACTCTTAATTGTTAAAGTATAGTCTACTGCTCTTGTTATATATTCTAATTAAAGAAAACAAAATCATTGGTTTTTAGTTTTTTCTATTTTATTTTTTATTCTGTTTATTTGAACATTACCTTCTTTTTCTTGAACAACATGCAAACTGTTTCCAGGGTCTTCTTCATTTATAAAACCTTTCCTTTTTTTACTTTTTTCTTCATCCTTGTTTCTGTCATCTTCTAATTAAAGTAAACAAAATCATCGGTTTTTGGTTTTTACTATTTTGATTTATTTTGTTTATTTGAACATTACCTTCTTTTTTTTGAAAAACATTCGAACTGTTTCCAAGGCCTTCTTCATTTATAAAACTTTTTATTTTTTTATTTTTTTCTTTATCTTTATTTCTATCATCTTTTAATTAAAGAAAACAAAATCATCAGTTTTTGGTTTTTACTATTTTGATTTATTTTGTTTATTTGAACATTACCTTCCTTTTTTTGAAAAACATTCAAGCTGTTTCCGAGATCTTCTTCATTATATGTTGAATGAAAGATAAGAACATTAAGGTCAGTTGAAATTAAGGTTTCATACAAATTAATTAATTGATATGAATCAGGTCTTTTATCAGGATCAGAATTCCAACAATTTTTCATTATTTCCACATAAGGAGTAGGAATATCATTGGATATTGGGGGTCTATATCCTTTAACAATTGATATAGCCATTTCAACATTATGAGTTTGATTCGCGAATGGTCGTTCCCCTGTTGCCAATTCCCACATTATTATTCCAATACTATAAACATCTGATTTTTTAGTGTATGGATGCTTTCTCAGTACTTCTGGTGCAATATATGGTAATACACCTTCAATTGTATTTGATTCTAATTTTAAATTATTATTAATAAAGAAATAGAAAACAAATAAAAATTACAATTGCGTATATTATTTACGTTGAATTTCTTCTTCATGTTGACATAATCCAAAATCCCCAATATAAATTTTAGCTCCAACATCAACTAAAATATTTTTACAATGGAAATCTTTATGAACTAATTTCATTTGATGAATTGAATTCAAAGCTTTTGCAATATCTAAAAGTAATTTTGATTTATCTGACCAAGTTAAATAACGATGTTTGTATAAATAATTCCTAAGATCTCCATGTTCTGCTTTTTTTAATATCATTGCAAAATTTTTATGAGATCCATGATATGTTATACCATAAAATGGGATTATTAAATTATTGTTGGCAAGATAACATCTATAATGAATTTTAAACTTTTAAATTTGAACATAGTAATGATGATAAATTAGATTTTTAGATGAAAAAGAATTTCAATAAATAATAATATTTCTTTACCTCATTTAAAATCCTATCATTAATAATTTTTGAATCTTTTAAAACTTTGATTACAACCGTTTTAGAATGAGTACCTGGTAACATCCAGTTGCCGCCATAAACTTCTGAATTTCCACCAGAGGTAAGAAAATGCAGGTTGATTATTCTTTTAATGGGAATCCATTCAATAAAATCGTTACAACCTACAGATTTTTTTAGTGTTTCTTCAATAAATAAATCAACTTTAGAATTTCCACTCTTATAATCTAAATCTTCATTGTTGTAATTATTGTCATCTTTGACTTTATTACCACCATTATCAGCTTCAATAGTATCATTATCTGGTTTTTTATTTTTTAATTGTAATAAAACTTTTCTACAGAATTCATCTTTACAATTATCACATACAGTTAGCGCTCGATATGATGAAGTTGGAAAATCTCCCATTTCATTATATTATAAATTCTTCTCCACGATTTATAATTTCTTTGTATATGTGTTGTGCATGAATTTGAATTTGAATCCCCAACATAATAAATTTCGATTTGATATTTGATAGTGAGTGAAGTTTGTTACACTATAATTGTTACATTATTTATTACTAATAAATTTAGTAGTTTAAATGAAGAATTCATTTTACTATGGTGAATATTATTAGGAAAAAATGATCTGTGCGATGATTTATTTTTAAATTATTAAAAAAAATATAAATAGAAAGCACTATATTAGTCAGGTAACATTTATTTCTTAGTATTAGATAATCTAATCAAGGAAATCATGAACATTCAACAAATAAAAATAATAGGAACACAATTTCTACCTTATCATATTTTGTTTGTTTTAAAAACTTATTACAAATAATGTATAATTCAAAAATGCAAGTTGGCAATTGCGTGTCTATGTGCTAGATTTAACATTGCTCGTTTCATATTTTTTTTTTGCTACGCTCTTTTCTCTTTTCAAAATGTTAAATATTAACAAGTTTACGAGTGGGAGGAGTGCAATATGAGCTTTTACTATTTATTATCATTATTAAGTACAGGATTGATTTCGTCTGACCAACTGACCTGAACCTACTTGATTGATCACATTAATCTTTTACGACACCCTATCAATTTTTAAACAATCATAATATTCCTGTAGAATCTCAGGAAGAAGCCTACTCATTGCGACATAGATTTGTCCCGGGACAAACATATTTTCGTCTATGGTTACGGTCATGTATGACAAGGTTAAACATTGTGTTTTATGCACTGAGAGTGGGAAACACATTTTATAAGGGAAACACATTTTCTTCTTTATTGTCATTTGTTTTGTCATTATCGATCAAATCAATTGATTGCTTCAAGCTAATAATTCATTAGTTATTTCACAAAAAAAAAATTTTTTTTTCGATAACAGTAGTCCTTGGACATGTTGAGATATTTATTACGGAAAAAAGATTGTTTCATTAATTAGCTTTAGCAAATTTAGTTGGCAATTTTTTTTTTATAAGTTGTTTGTTGTTATCGATTATGCCACATGAACCTTTTTATCTAATTATCTATATACGGAAACAAAAATACATATTAATATATAAACGCTTATTTATTTGAAACTGCAGCTTATACATTGTAAAAAAAGGGGTTCAAATTTTTAATTTTATGGTCTGTTTTATCTTCATCGATCATGTTTCTAATTAGCTTAACATACATAACTACGAAATGATTCATATCTGTGTGATTCCACTCTTATTTCTTATCGTATGGAGAGGGTCTATTGTTCGTGCTTGATACTTTGCTTTCGATTAATTTATATTTACAGCGGAACTGTTTATAATATATCGCCATTATAATTAAGCCAGCAAACATGTATCTTTGGTAGTAGCAGTCAGATGGTGTACAAATTTACACGTAATTAAAGGCTTCTATTTTAAATTAATCCCTTTGGTTTTTTCCATTGTCTCAGATTTTGTTTTCCACAAAACCTTTTAAGCTCGCGTACATGCTATTTTTAAAATAAAGAGAATATTGTTGCTGTCTAATTGTCAATCGAGCCACATATTTCGACATCAATCATCATCTAATTAAATATTTTGTATTCAATAATTTTTAAATTTCCAGTTTTGAAATCCTAACACTTTTGTACGTATCTAAACCAGAGTAATGGAATTGTCTTTTTTGCAAATTAATTTGTACAACAACCATGAAACCAAAATAAAAACCACCATGAAACTTTTCTGTTCGTTTAATAAGCAGTGAATAAAAAATATGCTTGTTATCAATCAATTTATCCACTTTTTGTATTGGCTCTTTCTTCAAAGTTGAAGATGATTTTACAATACTAACTTGATTTTTTGTTTTTACTGACAACTCTTTAACCCAGAGTTATCCAATGACCTTCTCATTGGACCATTAGACATATATGTCCAAGTTGTCCATGGGTAATTTTTGCGCAGCTTTGTTGGTCCATTTATGTAAATCATTACCTAAATAAAAAATATCTTAAAATGACACATTCTGGTGGAAAACCAAAGCATTGCTTGACACCATAAGTAATGGTTTTAAATGAACAGGCAAGCAAGTCAAATAAGTTTTCAATTTGCTATCCATGTAAAAATATGCTTGGTTATGAAGGTTCAATTGCTAATAAGTTCACTAATACAAAAAGAAGACATCTTAGGAGTTGTCCACATTTTAGGTCAGAATATCAATATGAAAATATTCTGAACCTAACAATCTTAAATGAAGAAAGTTTTTAAATGTTGACATTGATGTTTATTTTATCAATTCTTTGCTAATAATGTTCATCCTGGAGATGACAACAGTGTAAAACGGAATTCAAGTAGTTTATTTGTAAAAGAACTCCCCACACCACCTTATCCAAAACTCTAGATAATAAAACCAAAATTTTTATTTTAATATTTTCATTAATCAAAAAATTTTTTACAAATTTATGGCACAATCATATTACGTCCATTGATATGTCCAATGATGCATTGGACTTGGATGTGTTCAGTCCAATAGGAGTGCTAACTCTGCTTTAACTAAGTGCATGACACCAAC